TTTTTTGAGTAGCGTACCTTTTCCTGTCTTTTTTTTTAACACAAAGATTGAGTTTGTAGTTAAAAACCTTCCCACAAAGAAAATTCCAGGTCCAAATGGCTTCACCGGGGCATTCTATAAAACATTTAAAGAAGAAATAATGCCAATTCCACACAAACCCTTTCAGAAAATTGAAGAGGAAGAAATTCTTTCCAACTTATTCTACAAAGCCAGCATGACTCAAAACCAGATGGGGCGTCACAAGAAAAGAAAGTGACAGACTAATATCTTTCATGAGCATAGATGTAACAATTCTTAACGAAATGTTAGCAAATCAAATCAAATCATAAAGAAAAGGTTAACATCACAACCAGGTGGGGTGTATCCCAGAAATTCCAGGCTGGTTCAACGTTGAAAATCTATAATATCAAACAACTAAAAAAGAAAAACCATATGATCATCTCAGTCAATCCAGAAAAAAAAAAATTTGATAAAATAACGAACGTCTATCTATTCTTGATTTTAAAACAAAACAAAACAGAAACAAAAAAAAAAAAACAAAAGCAACTCTCAGCACACTGGGAATAAATGGGGACGTCCACAGTCTGACAGAAGAGCACCTAGGAAAAACCTACAAGATAACATCATATTTAATGGTGTAAAATCAATTGCTTTCCTCCAAAGATCAGAAACAAGACAGGAATGCATGCTCTCACTAGTTCTATCAACTTTGTTCTGGAGGTTCTAGCTAGTGCTGTAAGACAAGAAAAAGGAAATGAAAGGAATGCATACTGGAAAGGAAGGAGGAAAATTATCTTTATTCTCAGACAACATGCTCATCCATACAGAAAATCTTATGGAATCTACAAAACACCTACTAGAACGAATGAGTGGTTTTAGCAAGATTGTAAGATAAGATCAATACATACAAAAATTACTATAGATCCTTGTGCTAGCAGTAAGCAATTTGAAATTGAAATTTTAGGGGCACCTGGCTGGCTCAGTCGGAGAAGCATGTGACTCTTGATCTTGGGGTCATGAGTTCAAGCCCTACGTTGGGTGCAGAGATTACTTAAATAAATAAAACTTAAAAGAAAAGAAAGAAACCTAAGAGAAAAAAGAAAAGTCCCATTCAGCAATAAACTGATGTACTCAACAATACAGATGAGCCTGAAAATATGCTGAGTAAAAGAAGTCATGCAGAAAAGAATACATACTGTATGATTTCATTTATATAAATTCTAAAAGATGCAAACTAATCTACTGGGGCAAAAAGCAGATCCCAGATTGCCCAGGAACTCGGAGCGGTGGGGGGTGGGGGTCCAGTGGGAAGGAGCGCAGGCAAGAATCAGAAATGAACAAAAAGTAACCTTAGAGGTAATCAACATACTCATTACCCTGACTGTGGTGATTGTTTCATGGGTGTGTAAGTGTCAAAACCCCTCAAGTTGCACATTTTAAATATGAAAAATTGATTATATGTCAGCAATTTCTTTTTTAAATTTAGGAACATTTTCAGTTTTTAAAGCAAGCTTCGGGCGGTTTTTAAAAAATTATCTTCCCCTTGGCCTCTCACCTTTTTTTGTAGCTCACTTTTGATCCTGGGAACTTTTCCTTATTCAGAGGGAAAAAAATAACACACGTACACAGCCAGCTTCCCGAAATATTAGCCTTCAATCTAAAACTGGTTTTCTTTCACACATTTTCCTTTACAATGGATCTTGGCACCTTCCCTGCTATTCAGTTCGTCTCAGCTACCAGAGGTGTTGGTTGGGAGAGAGTTGGTTTCTAAGGTAACCACAGACAGTAAGGTACCAAGCTTGGGAGGCTGGAGTGCACACCCAGAGGTGACCCCCCCACCCCCACCCCAGGCAGCACAGACCTCCCCTCGGTGGGAGTTAAGGTGAGAAGCCCCTTCTGCACTACATGCCTTGAGATCTTCAGAAACCATGAAGGGCCGAACTTCTGGGGGTGGCGTCTCAAGGCATCAAGGGACAGTAGAAAGGGAGACACAGAACTGAGAGCAGGAAGGTGAGATCTGCTGGTCACCGCCCAGTGGGAAAGAGGACCGTGCAGACGGACCCGGACTTCCAGCAACACCCTCGCCAGTGTCCCCGCAGTAAGCCTGCACCCTTCTAATCTTCTGAGAGCCTCCTGCCTCCGCACCGTTCTTTGGTTTCATCTTTTCCTCCAGTGCTGGCACCGTGCCTACAACATTGAGGGGGTGTGGTTGACAGTTAAGCACAGACTCCGGAGACAGCCAGCCTGGGTTCCCAGCTCTGTGACCCTAAGCAAGTCATTCAACCTCTCTGGGCCTCAGATTCCCATCTGAAAAGAAGGGGTAACGGTAAGCACCTCAAAAGGTTGCTTGAGAGGATCTAATGGTTAATATTGACAGTCTGTTTAGAATGGTATTCACACAGCAAGCACTGTAGATGTGTGGGGTATGGTTATCACTTCATATTAAAATGTGATCGGGAACTCAACAGGTTGAACGAACAGAATACTGAGTGGCCTTCAAAGGGGGCGTATAACACGGGTTGACTACTGGTTATCCTGTCTACCCAAAAGCATTCTAGAGAAATCTAAATCAGCCAGAAAATAAGTCTCCGCCTTAGGGCTAAACGACACCTTAACTAAGCCAGCCTTTCCACATCCCCTTCCCAGTGGAGAAGGGCTACAAGAAGGATAAAAGATCCCCAATAAACAGTGGCACTGGGGCCTTCAGTGGTGATGTTGTATTCAGAAGGAGAATGGCTGCAACCTGGAGTGACCTGGCTGTCACTCTCCAGGACACACCTGCTTTGGTCTGGGGATGTCTGCCTGTGAATGAGAAGCTGTTTCTCTAGAACTCACTCCGAACCATCCGGGGCTCTGTATCACTACTCTCCCTGCGCTACTCAGTCAAGCGTTAAGTTTCTAGAATCCCTCCCCGCAAATAGGAGCCGCCCATACCTGTGTTTTCCTCTGCTTCTCACGCCTAAAGATGAGGAAGTATGAATTCTAGCTTCAATTTATCAAATTAATGAAACTTCTTGCTAACCACCTACAACCTGTCTGTGCCCTTCCTAGTTTCCTTAAGTATAAATGAACGAAAGCAGCATAAGAACGAATGCCCTCCCCACCCCACAGGATGCTGGACAGAGGAAAGGATTCATTTATTAATAGAGTTCTGGGGGGGGGGGGGAGTTAAAAGGACCACGTCAACTCAAGACATCGCTTCTTAATGTCTATTTCGATTTTTCTGTCCAGCACGCTACAGTTTACAGAGCCCGTGCTTGAACTTACTCTATCCTTACGACCTGCAAACAGCGGTCCCAGAGCTGAAAAGGGACACAGTCCCCCCAAAAAACTCAGTTCTTTGGACTCCTAGTCTAGTGCTCTTTCCATTAACCAGCCGCTGCTTCCAGATCCCCTACAACGCAGTCTGTCTTGGGTCTAATCTAGGTCTTGTTTCTAAACCAAGAGTTGCAATTCACTTAAGTGGCCAGCTAACTTGAAGGAACTCTCTTCTGCTGAAGCCCCCCCCCCCCCAACCCTCTTCCCCATAGACTTCAAAGTGGAGTGTACCAAGAGATGCTCAGGTGTGCAAGAGGAAAACGTCTAAGAGTGCGTGCACAGTAGTATTTAACTGTAGCAAACACAATTGTCTACGCTTTACTAAAACCTGTCTTTAACACAGGGATCGACCTAGCGCCCTCTCCGGGCAGCGTGTCGGATGTTTCCAGGAACGAACAGTAATGCCACCCACAGCTTAGACCTCCATTTTCTCCATCGCGTAACGCCATCCGCCAGACAAAAACAGGCCTGTTAATTGCTACAAACTTGACAATTCTTAGGAAAGACACGAGAATGACCATGAAAATCCTTGTTCTGCAGAGATTCACTGGTTATCTCCAGAGAAAGGCCCCACAAGAGATACTGAACACAGAAGAGATACCCGTTTTTATGTGACAGCGTCCTATGCTGAGGACTGGCCGGCAAGAGTGGACTAACACTTGTGTTCCAAACCAAACAACGACAACAAAAAATCCACTTAATCTGTTCCTTCAAAGTGAACAGGGCAGTCTATTAATGAGTGAGAAAGGCATTGCTTTGCTAAAGAACGTCATGCATATGGGGAACGCATTTTGAAAATGCACGACTACATATGGGTCCAACACTGTGATTTTTAAAATTTACTTATCGGGGAGCTTGAGTGGCACAGTCAGTCAAGTGTCTGACCCTTTATTTTGGCTCAGGTCATGATCTCAGAGTCCTGCGAAAGAGGCCGCGTCAGGCTCTATGCTGAGCGCAGAACCTGCTTGGGATTGTCTCTTTCCCTCTCTCTGCCCCTCCCCCACGAACATGCACTCACATTCTCTCTCTGCCTCTCAAAATAAATAAATAAACATAAAACAATAAAATTTATTTATCAAAAACAATGTGTTACCTGTAAAACATATATATATACACACATATATATGCATACATATATATATGTATTTTTTAAATCAAGTAAACCCTATGCCCAATGTGGGGCTCAAACTCATGACCCCAATGTCAAGAGCTGCATGGTCTACCTAGTGAGCCAGCCAGGCACCCCGTCACCTGTAAAACTTTTGTCTGCACGCTTGAAAAACTAAGAAACAGAATTTTAAAATCTGTTTTAAAAACCTAAATGAACTTTCTTAGTAGGTTTGGACCCATTTGTTAAAAATACAAAACGCAGTACCTTTCAATCAAATACCAAACAACTCATTGACTTAAAATGTACATTTGCTGACTGGATTTCAATGAAAACCTTTGTATCGTGGTGAACGGACTGGAAAATGAGTCCTAATTTAATAAATGCAACCAAGGATGCTCTTCCTCTACTTTAATCTACCTCTTTGACAACTATCTCTTCCAGTTAAGACAGCCAATACCTTTCACTAAAAAAGTATTCTTTTAAAAATGCACTTCATCTGTATTTCGATCTTCGCGTATTCCTACTCTAGGGCATGTTTTATAGGGTATGTAATAAAATTGCATGCACACCATTGTTTTTAAAATGTCGCATGTATTCAGAAAGCACGATAGGACTTGTCTGGCGACCACTGGTTGGTCTATCTGCACAGAGGAAGTGTCCACATTCGGGAGCATCATCCTCGCAGGTAGAACGGGAAAGGAATAAACAATAGGACAGCAGCAATTTGGACCGTGGCGCTTCAGATGCCGGCAGACCACCCGTCTTGGGGAGTTCTGACCTGGGAGGTGGTGAAGACGGGTGAAGGCAGCAGGTCTTTCTTTTAATTGTCAACTTGTACTTGGGTATCATCTAGGGGAAGCTCCTGGGTTATTCTAATCGTCAGCCAATGCTTACTCGTCTTTCCTCGTGCTAACTGGTAACGCTGCTGGGGTCAGTCCACACGGCTCCCTCCACACCGCTCATGGATGTGTGGGTAAGCACACGTGCACCGTGCGTGTATTCCCCGCCCCCCCCTCGCCCCCCAACGATCAAGGTGGTGTGGGAGGGAGGGAACACACTGCCCGCGGGGTGTTCTACAGTAGCACTTACCTAGACCGGAAGACAGAGAGCATTCCCCAGTCCCGATGGAAAAGTTTCCTTTTTATCTTATTTTTAACGGTAATGCCAGGGGCCCTCTGACCAATGTCATGTTACTGGGAAAGACTGAGCCACCGTGATTCTGCGAGAGGGGTTGTAAAGATAGAATTGTCCTTGAAAGGCTCTTCCACCGAGTTCAAAAACGCTCCAGGGCTGGCACCAAGGTGCCCAAACGCAGGGGAGAGGGAAGAGCGAAAGGTCTCTGCCTCCCAGGTGGGGGGGGGGGGCGCGTCGGGGGTAGGAAGGTCACGGACACCGGGAACAGGCTAAAGAGCTCCCGGCACCCAGGAAGAAGGGCCGCACAGATTTTTGGAAAATAAGATGAGGTCAGAGGTGGAGAGAGGGTGAGCAGCGGCGGTGGGAGCGCCCCGGGCGGGAGAAGGGGGAGGGGGCGGCGCGCGCCGACTCGGCGAGCCAGGGCCGGGGCCGGGCAGCCGGCGGGCCGGGCCGGGAAAAGCCGGGGATCCCGACGCGCCCGAGGCCGGCTAGGCCGCGCGGAGAGAGGGCGGTGCGCGAGGGGCGGCGGGGCGCGGGGGGGAGGGGGAGGGGCCGGAGGGGGGGGGTGG